GGCTGGGGGCTGAGGCTTGCGGAGGGGCGGCCTGGCTCCTGCCTCCTGGCTGGGGGCTGAGGCTTGCGGAGGGGCGGCCTGGCTCCGGCAGGCGCTGAGGCTTGCGGAGGGGCCCCTGGACGGTGGGGGACGGGGAGGCTTTCCTGGGTGCACAGTGGCACCACCGCCTCCCCTCCAGGGCACCCCCACCATGCCAGGGTCCGGGCAGAGGTGTGGCTGCTCCACCCCTAGAAGCCCAGCCACACGCAGGAGACCCTGGACCTCCTGGCGCAGAGGTATACCAGGGTCATTTCCGAGAAAAGTGGGCCCAAAAACCAAGGTCTGCAGGTAAAGGCAAGTGACATTTAATTGGGAAACCCAATCTTGAGTGTCCACGGTGGGCGCAGCAGGCCAGGGTCCGAGGTGGATGGACAGGCGGGCACTGCCCAGCTCCCCAGCCACGCCCTGCTCAACAAGCCCTCGGTCCCCACACACGCACCGGCCGTACCCAACTAGGAGAGGTGGAGCCCTGAGGACAGGTCTGGGGTCACAGTCTCCCCTCACCCGTGACCCAGAGCTCACGCCCAGCCCCACAGGAGCCGGGGTGGGACGGGGAAAACCGCTCTTGCCTGGGGCAGCTGCCTTCAGAAGTACAAGTGAGACAGAAAAAAGGTGCCCTGACGGGCACCCACACCAGTGCCCCCGAGTCCTGTGGCCACACTGCCCACCCCATGCGGGGCCTCTGTGGGGCCAGGCCGGGCCCAGGGGGAGTGTAGTGGGGATCTGGGGGCCAGGCCGGGCCCAGGGGGAGCGTAGTGGGGATCTTCGGGGCCAGGCCGGGCCCAGGGGGATCACCGGCTCTTCACCAGGACCCGGTACAGCGAGATGCTGAGGACGGCGGCCATGGCAGCTCCAACAGCCACCAGCACCCCCTTGAGCCAGACGGGAGTGGGGTGCAGCTCTGTGTGGACCAGGTGCCTGTGGGGACAGGGGTGTTTTAGGGTGTGCGTCTGGACGCTGCGAGCCCCTGCAGCCCCGTTCCTCCTGACACTGGCTCACCCCACGGCAGGCACTGCCCGGCCCACCCCCTGCCCACGGCACTGGTGCGGTACCCACGGGAAGGTAGCCATGGTGGCAAGCCTGGCAAAGACGTCAGTATGGGGCTGGGCCGGACCCGCGCAGGAGAAGGGGGTAGGAGGAGGCAGACGATGCCGACGGCAGAACTCGGCCGGCGACAGGCCTGCGGGGGGAACGCCTTCGGGCAGGTCGGCCTTAGAGGAGACGAAGAGGCAGGGGGTCTGGCCGTCCATGTAGTGGCGCTGCAGGGCAGAGGCGCGTGAGAGCTGAACCACTCGGACTCCAACCCCACAGCAAGGCCCCTTGGGGCTGGGGCCCAGGCCCTGCCTTGCCTTGTAGACGCTGATGCAGTGTGCAAAGGACCTGGGGTCACTGCCGTCAAACATCAAGCAGGCCACATCACAGGTGGTATCTGGAGAGGCGGCCAGCAAGCTATCTGCACTCATTTCCCACAGCTACAAGACAGGGTGCACTCAGGGGCCTGCCCCTGGGCGGGTCCCCCAGGTCTGCCCTCTGGAACAGGGGTGTGGCCCTTCAGCACTCACAATCAGGTACTTCTCCTGTCCGTTGACCTGCACTGTGTCGATGACATGAACTGGAGAATCTGCAGGGAACTCCTGGGCTTCCTTAACACCAAGGGGAAAGGGGTCCCGCTGTGCCCATCCACAGGACAACCCCCTCCTCATGTCGTCCCCCCTCCCCCTGTGTCCACAGAGCAACCCCCTCCTCATGTCGTCCCCCCTCCCCGTGTCCACAGAGCAACCCTCTCCTCATGTCGTCCCCTCCCCACGTCCACAAGGCAACCCCACACCCTGTGCTCCCTCCAGTACTCCCTCATGTCCATCCCCCTCTCTTCCCCCACCCCTGCTCCCTCCTCACGTCCCCAGGCTGAGGTTGGGGCTCTGCAGACGCTCACCCCCAGGCGGTGGCCAAGAAAGGCTCGCAGGAAGGAGGACTTGCCCACGCCCCGGGCGCCCAGCACCTTGCACATGAGGACGCTGCGCTGCGTCTGCCCCTTCTCCTGGTCTAGCCTCTTCCTCCGGGTGACTGCAAGAAGGAGCTGAGGTGAGGCACCTTCGAGAAAGGGCCGCCCCCAGGGCCCGCGAGGAGTGCCCACCTGTGATGGCCTGGGCCTGGGAGTCCTGCTCACAGAGCGTGGGGTAGCCCAGGTAGCCGAGATGGGCCAGGCAGCTCCGGACGTCCAGGTAGGTCACCAGGCTGGGGGGGGCAGGGGTGAGGACAACGGCGTGGAGGCTGGGGGGTGAGGACACGGCGTGGAGGCAGGGGCTGGGAGGGAGGGGGTGAGGACACGGTGTGGAGGCAGGGGGGGGTGAGGACACGGCGTGGAGGCAGGGGCCGGTGGGCTGGGAGGGAGGTGTGGCTGTGCTTACGTCCACTGGCAGAGGTACCCGTGCAGGGGCAGCTGGCCAGCCTCTGTGCGGACCGTGCGTGGGAGCTCAGGGACCCAGGGGGCCACGGGGAACACACTGTAGAGGCTCTGCAGTTCCACAGGAGAGAGCGCTCCGTCCCGGTCCTGCCAGAAAAGCCACTATGGGTGAGGGGAGCCCATGGGGGGGGGGCAGGAGGGGTGAGGGGAGCCCGTGGGGGACAGGAGGGGTGAGGGGAGCCCATGGGGGACAGGAGGGGTGATGGGAGCCTGTGGGGGGACAGGAAGGGTGACAGGGAGCCCGTGGGGGGACAGGATGGGTGAGGGGAGCCCATGGGGGGGCAGGAGGGGTGAGGGGAGCCCGTAGGGGGACAGGAGGGGTGATGGGAGCCCGTGGGGGGACAGGAAGGGTGACAGGGAGCCCGTGGGGGGACAGGAAGGGTGAGGGGAGCCCGTGGGGAGACAGGAGGGGTGAGGGGAGCAG